GTTTTAGATATGATTATTAAATATGGAAGCTGGTTCTAGCACTGTGGAAAATATTATTTGCGTTTGTGTGGTGTGCAATTTGTTGAAAAAGGGATTTTCAACATATTCGTTTCAAGATAAACTGGATATTATTAGAAACGGGAGACCAACACCTGATTTAAAACTTTTAAAAAAAGAAAGTTAAATCATGCTATCGGTACTTTAATATTGAAATGTACAGTACTAATCAGTGGTTAACGGGTTGTGAAAATTTGTGTAAATTGTTTTGTTGGCCATGTGTACTTTTCACAAATGAAAAAGGTGTTTGGAATAAAAATGGCTTTTCAGATTTAAACAACATTCACAAAGTGACAAAGAGGCATGGTAAGTGTGAAACTCATTTGCGAGCGGTGCTAAAAGAAAAAACATTTGGAAAATCACGAATTGAGCATTCATTAAATCAGCAGTTGAAAGAAAGTGACCGTAAGCATAATGAACTTGTAAAAAAAAATCGAGAAGTGTTAAAAAGACTTATTGACATTGTTTGTTTTCTCGGCGAAAATGAACTTAGTTTTAGAGGTCATACTGAATCTCGGAGGGTTGCTAATAGGGGCAATTTCATCAATTCAGTTGATTTATTAGCAAAATACGATACAATTTTAAGTAACCATCTGGAACACTCCACGATATTTCGCGGTACATCAAATCATATTCAAAATGATTTGATTCAGTCGATAAGCAATATTGTTTTAGAAAAGATCAAGCAAGACATAAAAAAAGTTCCTTTTGTTGCAATTATGTTAGATGAAACAACCGATATTACGAATATTAGTCAGTTGTCAATCGTAGTACGATACATAAATCCAACTGGGAAAGTCCAAGAGCGCTTTTTTAGGATTTTTAGACGTAACAACGAAAAGAACGGCCGCAGCTTTACATGCTATAGTTTGTCAGATAGTCGATGACCTACAGTGTGGTGCTAAACTTATCGCCCAAAGTTATGATGGGGCCGCTGTAATGGCTGGTGAATTGGGGGGCCTGCAGGCCAAAGTAAAAGAGACTTTTCAGAATGCAATATTTGTACATTGTTTTGCGCATCGATTAAATTTAGTTCTTGCTCAATCTGCAGCGTGTCTTAAAGAGTGCAAAGTATTTTTTTTCAAGTATTAGTGGAATGGCTGCCTTTTTTTCAAAATCATCAAAACGGACACGAGCTTTAGATTTGGAAGTACAGAAGAGACTACCCAGAGTTGCTCCAACACGATGGAATTACAATGGGAGGCTAGTACAAACTGTATCTGAATATCGACAGCCTCTAATTGATTTATTTGAAAATATTTTACAAAGCAAAGATGATTGGGACACTGAGACTTTGAATGGATCCAGAGGTTACTTAGATTCATTGAAAAGAGACTTTGATTTTAATTTTTTGTTAAATATATTCTCCGAAATATTCCCATTTACTGACAATTTATTCAATATTTTGCAAACTAAATCAAATGACGTTGGATTTTGTGTAAAGAAAATTGAAGAATTCAAAAATTTGATTTGTAACAAAAGAAATGAATTTGAAAAGTTCTGGGAGAAAACTAGTAATGACAATTTAGAGCCACAAAGAAAAAGAATACGAACTGAATTTATAGTGGATCGTAGAACTTCATATCGAAGACTTTTTATCGAAATTTTGGACAATATCACTGGGCAACTAAATAATAGATTTAAAAATTTTAGTGATATACAATTTTTAGAATTGTATAATTTTAATGAATTTCAAAATAAACAGTTTCCACAAAACGCACTTCAGTCATTGAGTGATAACTACGGAAATTTTTTTGATATAGTTGGGTTGCGATCGGAACTTTCAGTTATTTATGCTACAGAAGATATTAGTCAGAAACATAACGCCAACGAACTGATTATCTTCATAAAAGAAAATAGTTTGGATCAGGCCTACTCTGAAGTGTTGAAATTGTGTGAATTAGTGTTGACGATACCTGCAACTAGTGCTTCGATTGAACGCAGTTTTTCGACCTTAAAAAAGAATAAAAACTTTTTCAATAAATTCAACCAGTGAAGAGCGGCTTTCAAGATTGTCCCTGTTGACAATAGAAAGTGACTTTGTGAAGGAGATTTCTCAAAATTCAAACTTTTACGACGAAGTTATTTCCGACTTCGCAAAAAAGGAGAGGCGGATTAAACTACATTATAAATAGGTAGGTATGTGCATGTTAACTACTTAACTAGCCGGCTCGATTTATAGTTGGCTAGAGAGTGCACGATGGCAAGTGTGACTGAACAAACTCTCTATTTCGCTGTGGGTTCGATCCCCGCCACCGGCACTGGCAATGTCGGTGGGTATGGTTGTGTGTCTGCGTTTTTTTGATAAGTGTAACCCTCGCCCGTGCAGCTTCGGCTTTGGAATCGGGGGTTGTCTAATTTTTGTGGTGTTTTTATATTTTATGTTTATTGAGTAGTGGCGGTCCTACAAGTGTACTTTTTTTCTAGATATCATAACTTTGCGGCTTTCGACATTTGCTTTAAAATAAGTATACGGAAGCCATGCTTCTTTTCTTAACAAAAATTTTGCCTCGCTTCGCTCGGGGCTTCGCACTACCCATCACCCTATATCACAAACTGCTTCCCCTGTATCAAAACTCACCGCACGCCCCTGCTGCATTCCATACATTACTGATTATCTTACACATATACTTAACACTATTTTAGAAACTGATATATTTCCTACTGGCTGGAAACAAGCTTTAATTATTCCGTTACCCAAAATATCTAATCTGCATTCTGCCAACTTTATCAAAAATTCTTGAACGTATTATACACGATCAAATGAATATTTTTTTTCAATGCAAATAATATTATATCGTCGCAACAATCAGGATTTAGATAGGACTTCAGTACAGTTACAGCTCTTTTAAATGTAACAGATGACATTGTTCGTGATGTGGCTGATAAGAAGACAACTGCTTTGGTACTACTTGACTACCGTAAGGCATTTGACACTATTAATCATGATCTTCTCTGTGCAAAATTAAAATATTATGGATTTCATATTTCTGCTTTGATTCTTATAAAAAATTATCTGAGTAATTATACACAGAGTATACTTCTAGACAATGCAGTGTCATCATCTATGCCAATTATGTCAAGAATACCACAAGGTTCAATAATAGGGCCTCTTCTTTTTATTCTTTACACCTCTGACATATGCCGTCAGTTACAGTTCTGTCACAGTCATCAGTATGTTGATGATACAAATATCTATTTACCTTTAACAAAAAATCATGCGTTACAAACTGAGTCAGAACTAAATACAGACCTAAGCAATATTCAGGAAAACTGTCTGATACAGGATACTTGAAAATAATCAAAGTGGTTTACATTGAGGAAGAAAAAAAACAAATATTTATACAAAATAGATAACAATGATTTATTTAGGAAATTTAAATATAAATAAATACCGAATTTGGTGCAAAACCGGGTCGGATAATCGTTGTTACGACATCATCCAGCACCGTCAGGACACGTCGGATGACATTGATACAACATTAAAATGCTGCTTGGGCAACCATCAAATTTTTTCTTCTTTCTAGGGTGTGTTGGTACACCCCCAAAGCTAAATCCTGGCTACCATTGGGTCGCAAAATTTGGATTTTGTTCGATATTAAAACTGTGTTTTCATTTATGGTGTATTAAAACAACGAAGCATATATTTCCTAATATATTAAGAACGAAGAAAATAAAACCCTATGGGTCTTCGCCCCTCTAAATCGGCCACTACTTGTGTCATTAAGTGGCAAGTCATCCAAATCGTTTAGCAGATAGTTGTGGAACAGTTGTTTCTTCAACTGGGGGGAAGATGTAAGTAAAATGACACACATAAATTTTCCTAACTCAAAGATCCGTACTCATCTAAGTTTAAAAGTGGCTCATATTGTGCAATTACATTACAGTACTAATTAGCCCTTCAGATAACCTAGCCGTTGTCTCTTTATTTTGATCTGGACTTCTATGTTTTAAAATTTATTTTTTATTTAGCCGTTCAACTGGTAACATGTTTTTATTTTTTTTGTAGCATGACATTTACGTAACTGTATTTTTGTATCTTATCATTTCCTAAATTTTGAGTTCAAGTTGTCCAAATTAACGGTAGAATAAGTGCATTATAAAATAGTGTTAGAGGCAACTCTCTGTTTTCACCTAACTGTAATAATTAGAAACCTAGAGTTCCAAAACGTTTGCCTAATTTCTGGAACTCTCATGAATATATAACTTAACCGTTTAGTTAAATAATCTCTTTGATAATTTGTGACATCCATCTTTAATCTAATTAATTTGAGTGTTAAGCTATATTTTCGGATTTTGCTACTGACTACGACCAATCTGATTGTTTTATATATTTGTCATAACTCATACCTTTCTTTTATTCTTGTTAACAATTCACCCACAAAATCCATTTCTAAAATAATACGCGTTCTTTGTGTTGTACTAAATATTCGGGAAGAGGTGGAATGTATGCATTTCCTTGACATAGCTCCAATAATGAAATGTAGGTACAGCCAAGCTCTCAATAGGGAATGTCTTATTAAACTACAAGCGAATGCCATTAAAGGAACCAAGAATCTGCTCTAAAAGACAGTATACAAATGTTCATCCTTCAATATAACGTATTAGTAATATAAAAAAAGTTCTTAAATTATTCATCGAATGATAAATATCCTTATATCCAGTTTATTTTTTTAATTCACATGAAAAAATACCATAATTCAATTTTAATGTAATTATCAAGGCGAGATAATAATTACATAGGTAACATTGGATGACCGAAATCCTGAGTACAAGAATACCCATTGGATTTCAACATAACACACCTTTATCAACCTTTATAAGTTAATTCTAAAATGTTCAGTATTGAATTTTTATTTTATTTGTCGCAAATTTTATATGCCATTATAAATTCCTATATCCGTCCAAGCCTTAAATATAATTATATAATAATAAGTAGATGTGACTTCGTGGTTGAGTGGTAAGAACACTTTCCTCTCACCCTGAAGTCCCTCCTCTCACCCTGAAGTCCCGGGTTCGATCCCCGGTCGAGAAACTAGGATTTTTTCTAAACCAGAAATTAATTTTGCATATTCGGTCATTGGATGTGTGTCCAACGTCTCTAAATGTGTAGCTCTCTCCCACACAAGGTACCTTGATGTAGCTTCAGGGATACAGGGGGTTGTATTACCTGTGGTGTTTAAAAAAAAAGATGTACTGTATTTATTATCCAGTGACCTGTTTTTTAAATTATTAATTTTCTTCATAATGGTTGGTCTAAGAAAAATTGACCAATTTATTATCTAGATGAAAACTGGTATGATACTCATAACTAGAGCTGTCCGAGGTGGCTGGAGTACAGCCACAGTCTTGCGATGGCGTCACACGTGCCGATTTAGAAGTGATTTACGCTGCAGTCTTATTTGAAAGGTTGATGCGTGAGGTTGTACCAATGACTTCAGAATATTTCTGAAGTCATTGGGTTGTACCTATAAATTATACATAATGTCAAACGCGCCAAAGGGTAAAAAACGACCGTACGCGGACACAGTGAATAAATTTATCTGTGAATTTCAGGATTTATTCTATGACGGATGCAAAATAATTTGTAAAGTTTGTAATCAAGACTTAATGTGCTGGCACAAAACAGATTGTCGTCGTCATATCAACACCGTGCAACATCAAAATTAAAAAAATGGCATGCCTTTGACAACTCAGTTTATGTTTGATTTATTGTTAATGTTAATAGCCTGTAATATTCCGCTACACATACTGGATAAACAACCATTTCGGAAGTTTTGGAATAAATACAATCCCCAGGTGAACTTACCAACTCGTACATCGTTACGTAGATATATTCCAGCTGTTCGTGAAGACATTGTAAATAGGATTAAATGTGGATTAAAAAATACACGGCTCTGGTTATGTATTGACGAGACGACAGATTGTAAAAAAAATTCTATTTTAAATATTATAGTACGTGTACTGGGCCCTCTTAAACTAACATTTCCACTTTTACTAGCTAGTAAAAGACTAACTGCGTGTACTGGCGAAATAATTACGCGTGGGGTGTTGGCGACATTCGAAAAATTTGAACTTTCAACAAGTCAAGTATTGATGTTTGTGACTGATGGTGCTGCGACAATGCGCATGGTAGGCCGTTCTTTTCAAAGAGACAATTGTAGGTTTTTACATGTTACGTGTAAAGTGCATGCGTTACATCTTGTGGCAGAAACGATTAGAAAATGTTTTCCAGAGGTAGATGCATTAATAGCAAATACAAAAAAAGTTTTTCTCAAATCTCCTAAACGGCTTCGAGCATTTCACAGACAGTGTCCTGGTATCCCTGAACCACCAGAGCCGATTCTTACACGTTGGAGAACGTGGTTGAAAGCGGTTTTTTATTATGCTGAATATTTTCAACAAATAAAAGCTGTGATACTACAGTTCAACCCTAACAAGGCTGCAGCTATTAGGGAAAGCCAGACAAGCTTTCAAGACGTTTCCCTTGAAACATATTTAAAAACTATTAATAACAATTATAGAGGACTACACGCAATAGAAAATTGCAAAATAGTTCGTTGTCGTTAGTGGAATCGTGCAAATAGTGGACGACGTAAATACACAGCTGCAGGCTATAAATGACGCTAAAAATAATCGCTTTAGTGAAAAATTCGAGAGTGTATTACAGAAAGATCCTGATTTTAGCAAATTGAGACAAATTTGTGATAGTGCATCTACAACTTCGTTAAGTGAGTTCACAGATTGTTTTACTTATGCCTGTATTACATCCGTAGATGTCGAATAGTCATTTTCAAAATGCAAAACATATTTTTTTCACCAAAGCGAACATCGCTGACGAAGACAGCTGTAGAAACATACCTGATGCTATTATACTATAGATCTTCCCCACTTTGTGATGACGACAACCAAACTACTTCATAAATCTGCTTAAAAGGGTGAGTTTTATACAAATTTTTATAAAATGTAACATTATTGTTAAAATTTATTTCCATTTACCGTACTTATTCAAGTATTATGATATGATGTAAACATATGAGTCATATGACGGCTCTGTCGGCCAGGTGACCTCGGACAGCTCTACTCATAACACCGTAAAAAATATAATTATAAATAATGATATTATAATACAATTATAATATGATAATTAAATATAATTATAAATTTGAACAAGGATAGTAGTTCATGTCAAAATGAAGAAAAGAGTAAGAAGAGTGAGGATTCAGAGGAAGAAACGATGTGAGGTGAGGTAAAGTGAAGTGATGTGAAGTGAAGAAGTGAATTTTGTGATATCAACTGCATTATTTAATTCCGTTTTTATGCTTTCGTGGTTCAGTACTTGAGAAACATTCTTTTTTCAGGACGTTATTATTTATTAATGTTTTTATTTCTCTTTTTTTTCATTTTGAGAAAAATATGTCTTTCTGTTTTTATTATAGTAATAACTTTACTATTAGAATTTATTTTTAGTTCATTTATTGAGAAAAATATTTGTTTCTGTTGCTATTTTGAGAGTATATTTTTATTTTTATTTTGTTTTTAAAGCTTTCTTGTTACTTTTTAAATAATCTTTTTCTATACTAATATTTCATGTCTATCCTTTCCTGACAAGAAATGCTCATACCCCCTCGCGGTTCTTGCTGGGTAGTAACAATTTATATTAAGCAGATTTGAATACTGTAACTGCTGTATGTGTAGTCAATACGTTAAATTCAATACTTTTATTTCAAGTTAATACTTTTTTGTATGATTGTTAAATTGTTGCTAGCTAAACTGAGCCAAAAACCTATATTGAAAAAGTAAACGAGCGAACAATACAGTTAAATCCGGCTCTGCGTCCCGTAGCGTCTTACCCCCGACGCACGTCCCGTCACAATATCTGTTTCGCAAACTATAAATGATTTTAATATATACGTAAAACGATTAGAACAATTTTTTCGTTAATAAGATAAGAGAAGATAATCTAATACGCGCAATGTTGTTAAATGAGCTCAATCAGGATGCTTATATGCTGTTGGAAAATTTGTGTTTATCGGGAATCGCTGAAACTGCTACATACGCTGATCTCCTGCAAAAATTGAGAGATTATTATTCGCCTGCACGTGCAGTGTTCGCAGAGCGATATAATTTTTATCTATCAAGTAAAATGTCAAAAGAATCATTACAAGAATATGCAGAACGTCTGAAGAAATTAGCTACGTACTGTAAATTTTCCAGTTTACTCGAATAATTTGTCTCAATTGTGTCTTATCTAGTTAAGTTCTGACATCAGTCAATAGATGTCTAACATTTAGTACTTTCAGTCTAGAATATTTAATGATAAGCCAATCAAGTGGATGCAAACGTCGGTCAATATCGGCCAATTTTCAATTGTGAAACACCGATGTATCGCCATACAGACGTCGATGGCAAAACATCGATGTTTTTAGTCCGATGCATTGATGTTTTTAAAACATCCTTCCCATGGACCTGTTCAGTGACCACCAAGATCGCCTGACCTTACTCCATTGGATTTCTTTCACTGGGGTGGGGTAAGTCGAGGATAACGATTTTCATTTCAAACACACTTGAACGCAATTAACTACAAAATGATAATCAATTTGTATCTCTTTGAAAAAAACAAAATTGCGATGAAAAGGAGACCTAATCTTTTTATTCTGGACATCTAAGAACCACGCAGAAATGTACATACGGAAAAAAATTTACATTCGAGTGTGATTTTTCCAATATCCTTAACTTTTTGTGCACAATGTAGTTGTGTTATTCTCTGTAACAGTCATTCACAAGAGATTAGAAGCATCACTAATTATAGTAAATTTAAAAGTGTTGTTAAAAAAATATTGGAGAATGGTGTACTTTACAGTGTAACCGAGTTTCTTCATAGAGAAATTTAAATATAGTAATAAGACTATTTTTTTCCTATATAGGGTCCTAATAATTAATTAATTTTATGTGTGGTACAAGAATAATTTTAATTGGAAGTTTTAATTTTCTGTGTAATTTATATATGACTTACCACATGTAAAATTATTATATTTAAAGTGGGTAATATAAATTATGAGTTATGAATTACGATTTATGTCTTATGTACAAGTTGTGTTGTCGGAATTTATTAGTACATAAATTATAGATCAGTTACATCAATAATAATTATTAATTATTAAATGCATTTTTTGAAACAATACATAAAGGTAACACTTTCTTCAAATATATCTGTTATTGATTTACAAAAGCTCAATCTACTTAGTTCATTTTAAGCATGCGCTAAGAGGAAATGACGTGAGCTTGGAAGTTTATAAAAGAATTCATTATACAAAAGTTATGTTCTTCAGCGTAAATGTCACTATATACTTAACGAAAGATAATTTGGTGACCTATAAAACGTTGTAAAATTTACTTTGTGTACGTATTTACTAAATTATTCCTTTTCTGCTGCCTAGGATTTAATTTGTATTTTAATGACGTCAACAGAATTATCATTGATGCAGCAGTGAAACAATGTTTGAATAAATAGCGCACAACAATAACAATATTGTATGGAAAATATAACAATTCATTAATTAATGCAAATAATTATTCTAATCACTTATGCGTAAATTTAATAAGCAATATAATCATATTTCAACAGATTTACAGAGTAAATTCAGTATAAATTTAAAGACACTGAGCAACCATTCTGTCAGACAAAGTTACATATGATACATCGACCCTATTGAATCGTATATTCAGCTATCAAAAGATAAAAATGTCAAAAATGGAGGTTCTCTGATAGGATGTAAAAACAAAGAGGACAATGGAAAGTTTAAGGCAATTGTTGAAGAGAAATTATCTGACTCATATGAGATTCGGGAAATTAATGGAATTAACCCCAGGGTCCGCATTGTTGGATTGTTTGAAAATTATCAGGAAGATCAACTGGTTAACTACATAAAGAAGTGCAACTTTGATTTGTTTTTAAGTAATTCAGAATGTAAAATAATCAAACTTTTTCCTACTAAGAAAAACAAGAACGTATTTCAGGTTATCTTTCAGTTAGA